GGTCCTGGAGGGCTGGAGGTGTGGCATGGAGGGTGTGGGGGCTGTGGAGTAGGGCAGGGTGTTGGCATTCTGAAGCATGGGATGCAGGGCTCTGGAGCTGATGTGTGGTGGCAAGGTGGGGTGCCGGAGGGGTTTGGGCCATGGAGGAGCTATGCTCAGGTCCTTCCTCACCCCCCTTCCAGCCTTGTGCAGCTAGTGGGAGGGGAGGCGCAACTGGGATGTGTGTGTGTGGGGGGTGCTACCTGACACCTCATCACTCCCTTTCCTGTGTCGCAGGAGCTTTTTCAAGGTGACCAGAAACCGGGCCCATGCCCAGTCCCACTACTGGAATATCCTGCCCCTTGAGAGGGATAGTGAGTGACCCCTCCCCTTCCATTTCATATGTCCCCCTGGGGTCACCCCAAAATCACAGCCCCCAAGGACCGCCCCACAGCTCTGTAGTCCCTCCTTGCTGCCTCAGACCCTGCCCCCAAGTCCCTGTGCCATCCTGGGCTCCCTTCTCCTGGGCTGGGGGAGCTGGGCAGGGAGGATCTCAGCCCCTCTCCCTGCCTTGTCTTCCTCAATGAGGAGAGCAGCCATGTGGGCTGGGGTGGGGCTGGCAGTGCCAGTCTTGTGCCCCCCTCTATCTGCCTTACCCCATAACATGGAGGGGGTCCATGCTACATCTCACCACCCTGGAAGGGGAGCACAGAGGGGACTTGCTGAGCTGGCATCAGAAATCTGTAACACCTAAGTCAATACCTGTGATGGGAACAGTGCTGTGCCCTTTGCCTCATACCTTTGCCAGGGCCAGTGATTCTCAGGGGGTGGGGAGAATGGAGGCCCATGGAGCAGGGGCTTTCCTCCTCCTCCATCTCCTCCTCTTCTCCCTCCACTTTCTTTAGACAGCAGGTAAGTCCAGATGCCCTCCCTACCAGAAGGGCCCTGGTGGCTCCCCCTTGGGTGCAGTGTGGTGAGTCACTACCTCTCACAATGCTTCCCCCCACAGAGGCCCAGCTGGTCCTGATGCTGGGACTGTCCCCAGTGCAGGCTGCACCAGGGTGCTGATGCCCTGCTGCCATGCCATTTTGCTGTCCAAGATCAGAGCATCCAGCTGAATCAGCTTTACCTGAAGTGGATACGGGGGAACCAGTGCCTGGTCAAGAACCTCAAGGGTGTACAGCTGTACCACCCAGGGTCCAGGCTTTTCCCAGAGGTGCTGGGCTAGGGGAACTGCAGAATGTGAGCCTGAAGGATACCGGGAGCTATGTCTGCAGCCTCATCCACACACCCAAGGAGGAGGAGCAGGAGCTACACTTATTGGTCACTGGTGGGTCCTTGGGCTCCTCTCAAGCTTCCCCCGTGGGCCCTATTCGATTGGGATTCAGATTCGGCCCGAATCGGGGACTGATTTGATTTGTTGATTCAGATCACTGTCCCTGATTAGATTCTGCAGAATCCAAATCTGAAGATTCAATGCTGATTCGGAAAATCAGCAATTTGGCCATAGACACAGCTTTAAATGTTTTTTCTACATACCTCGAGGTACCAGCATGGCTCATGAACTCTGTGACGCTGGGGCGCATGGAGTGCACACAGGGTGGGCCACGCTCCACGTGCTCATTGGCTAACCCGGAAGTAGACCGGAAGTACTTTTGGTCCACTTCCCAGTCTGCCGGGGAGTGCGTTGGGGGGGGCCCCCCCGGCTTGGTAATTGGTCATGGGGGACCCTGGGTGCCCCCCCCCCCCCCGACTCAGGAGGCACCAGTCACTGAGCCAGGGAGGTGTAGGGGGGGCCCCAGCATGGTCCCCGGCAGACCCTGAAGTGGACCAGTCTGCTGTTGAGTGCGCTGGGGACCCCCCCCGTGCTCCTGTGGGACACGCCATCCACCCCGGCATCACAGCATTGATGAGCCACTTGCTACCTAGAGATATGTAGAAAAAACGTTTAAAGCTGTGTCTACATCCTAACTGCCAAATCTTTCTGAATCTCTCTGAATTGATTCGGAGGGTTCTGATTCGATTTGGAGAGATTAAAGGGTCCTCTGGTTCAATTTGGATTCGGAGATTTGGCCACTGAATCAAGCCAAATCTCTGCTGAATCGAATCGGGGACTGAAACTTTGCACAGCCTTACTGTGAACCCACATTTGCAGTCAGACACAATTGTAGGAGCTGCAAACACGGGTCCGTGGCAGCTCGGCCCCCACTGAAGATGGACAGGGCTTGATTTTTCTCACCTCTTGGTAGGCTACGTTCCCAACTATGATGTCACACTGGGTAGTTCTCATGCATGTGTCGTGCTTAGGGTCTGACACGGTGTTGCCCAAGCTAGGGGTCTCATTGATGAGACTGTGGCTGTTGCATTTTCTCATTTCTAGTTGCCCCAGGAATTTCTGTTTCAAGACAACTAGCTGTGGCTGGTGTGGAGACCTTCCTTCTGTGCCATGTGCAGGGTTTCTTCCCTGAGGATGTGAAAATAGTGTGGTTGGGAGATGGGCAGGTGCTGAATGTGCGGGCCGGAAGCAGTCCGAGGCCCTTTTTTTTGCGCGGCGGGCTGTGGCCAGCAGCCCGGACACGCCGGGTCGGGGAAGGCAGGCGGCACGCTAGAATTAGGCACGGACGCTTAATGGCTGATTTAAGATTATTTACTTACACCGTAGATGGTCGCGGTGCAGGCTGGAAAACTTCCAGGAAAACTTCGCTTAAGTCCCAGTTTAAGGACTCGGACAGAGCTCTGGATTCACTCACACGAAGTTTGCTAGGCTCCGTGGAACTTTGCGCGCAGGGAAGGGTACGTCGAGGGATCAGGCGGCGACGGGGAGAGGCGAGAGGCTGATCAGACCCCTGTAGCCTTCTTGATATACACGTTGGGTCCAATAGGCTCCGCAGCGCTTAGAGATCTTCACGAGACGTGAAGTCTCCTCCTCCTGATGTTCGTGGAGTCCTCCAACTTGGGTGGAAACCACTCAATCCTCTTATACGGCTAGCAAGCCAATCGCTAGCTGCCACGTAGGAATAATTTAGAACTGACCAATAGTGGGGCACGAATCTGAATACAAATGGCAGGAACTCCTTGCAACGTGCATCTCCTTTCTGCAGCTCAGAAATGCACCCTGGAAAGAAAGCTACAAGTGGTGGGAAATAATTCAGCAGTGCTGAAGCACACAAACAAAAAATCACACCCTTGGGTTGTGACACTGAACAGCTCCACCCACTCCACTCCCAAAGGAACACAGATGGGATCTTCAGTGTCACCCTGGCCTGTACCTTCATTCTCACCCAGAGTGACTTTGGCAGGGTCTTCTGCCATGTCCAACACCTGGCACTGAAGCAGCCCCTGCAGGAGGAGTTCCCCCTGGAAATCACAGGTGAGAACCCATGTGGGAGTTTCTTTCCTGACTAGAGGGTGTTTGCAATGATTCAGCCATGGGCAATGCTGACAGCTAAGGGGATCACAGAGAAATCACAGATGAACTTCAAGAGGTTGCCTAGTCTAACCTTGCTGCTCCCAACTGGACTGTCGCTATCCAAACGATCCCAAACAGATCTAGATTGTCCTCAGTGTGACACAGTTCTTGAAAAGGCCGAACTCCTGTTGTGCTTTGGCCTGTCAGGAACGAGCACTACTTCTGTGAATGGTGGTGTGCTGCAGCAGCATGGGTTCTGTAAGGGTGGGCTAAGACTGGGGAGGGAAGATCATAGAGTCAGAGAGTAGTCAGGCTGGCAGGGTCCTCAGGAGGTCACATCTAGTCAGACCCTCTGTTCCAGGCACAATCCTCTCTGTCTAAACTATCCTAGGCAAGGGTTTGTCCAACCTGCTCTTAGAAGCTTCACCAATAACCTTTTCATACAACACCCTCAAAACACCCCTCTAACTTGGCACAGGTAAAGCAGAGGGACAAGGGTCCTGCCAATGTCCTGCCACTGTGAGGGAAGGGAGGGGCTGATTTAAACACACCCCAGAGATCTTAGGCAGAGGACTGTGCCCCTGTGACAGAAAAAGGCCAAGCCAATCTGACCTTGGGGTAAAATCCCTTTTTGATCCCAACTGTGACAATTGGTTTGGTTCTAGGTGAAGGAGCAGGGCTGTCTAACCAGGGACCTCTGGGTGTTTTGTAATAGCAACAAGAGCATTGGCAAACCTCAGTCAAAGATTTGGCACACCCCAGTCAACATCCCCAGCTTTGGCTGAGGCCAACACCCAACGTTTCTGAAGTGAAAGAAACCCCTTGACACCCACAGCAACTAAAAGGGAAAAACTTCTTTCCCCTTGGGAGAAGGGTCAGAAGTCCTGGCCGGGTTTGAAACAGTTTCTAGGAAGACTAGAGCAGTGACAGGGTCAATGTCCCCGTAGCCAGCCCCAGAGGGAACAGATCCAACACAGCACTACTGTTCCCAGGTCCTCATTTGGGCAAGCAGCACATTGGGAACTCCCTGCAACACGGCTGCCCCTGGCCAGGCACCATGTCCTGCAGCGGAGATAACGCCATGCTGGGCTGTAAACACGTCCTTTCTGCTGCAGGGGTTTAGGTTGTAGCCGTGTTGGTCTAAGGACATAGGCAGACAAGGTTCCTTGGGTGAATTTGATATCTTTTATTAGACCAACTCAAATAGTTGGAGAATATTTATTAAGCAAGCTTTCGGGTTCAAAAACCCTTCTGTCAGCTCTGCAGGGATAGGGGGAAAAAAGCCCAGTCCAAGGGCTCATGGTACAAACCTGAAAGTGCTTCGAGTTCTCTGGGGTGGGTGCCAGACTGCATAGGGTTGGGAGGGGAGACAGCCATGAACAGAG